GGGGTGACTAGTGACAGTGGGGGGGGTGACTAGTGACAGTGGGGGAGGTGGTTGGGGGAGGGGGTGGTTAGTGCCTACCTGCATCTCTGCTTCCTCTCCCTGGCTGCTGCTCCTTCCCCTCCTCGGCTCTGTGTGAGAGGAGTAAACAGGAAGTGATGTCACTTCCTGGCCCGCCTCTCCCATCACACAGAGCCGCATGGGAGAGGATGCAGGAGACCTGGCAGAGAGCTGGTGAAGCGGCCAGGTCTCATGGGGGGGTGACTAGCAGAGCGGTAGGTTGTGGGGCCCCGCGCTGCATCAGGGGCCCCACAACCTATCAATTAAATAGTTTTATTTTATTATTTTGCCGTTCCAGTTGGAGAGATCTCTGATCTCTCCAGCTGGAGCATGGCTGTGTGGCCGGGCCCCTGACTGCCTCGGGCCCTCGGTCCATGACCGATATGCCCGAGTGGTCAGTCCGCCCCTGGGTCCAAGTACAGATCCCGGAGGTACCCCACTGGTGACAAGTCCAAGCTTCGAATATATTCCATTAACTACAACCCTCTGTTGCCTGTCACTCAGCCACTGCCTTACCCATTCAACAATATTGGAATCCAAACTTAAAGATTGCAGTTTATTGATAAGCCTTCTATGTGCAACAGTGTCAAAAGCCTTACTGAAATCTAGGTAAGCAATGTCTACTGCACCACCCTGATCTATAATTTTAGTTACCCAATCAAAAAAATCAATAAGATTAGTTTGGCATGATCTCCCTGAAGTAAACCCATGTTGTCTCTGATCTTGAAATCCATGTGTTTTTAGATGTTCATCAATCCTATCCTTTAACATGGTTTCCATCACTTTCCCCACTACTGAAGTAGGCTTACTGGCCTATAGTTGCCCGACTCCTCCCTATTACCTTTCTTGTAAATGGGCACAACATTCGCTAACTTCCAATCTTCTGGGACTACTCCTTTTAACAATGATTGGTTAAATAAATCTGTTAATGGTTTTTCTAGTACACCACTAAGCTCTTTTAATAGCTTTGGGTGTATTCGATCAGGTCCCATTGACTTATTTGTCTTTACTTTTGACAGTTGAAACAGAACCTCTTCCTCTGTAAACTCACGTGTAATAAATGACTCCTTTATCCTTTTTCTTAACTGAGGTCCCTTTCCTTCATTTTCATCTGTAAATACAGAACAAAAATATTCATTGAGGCAGTCAGCTAGACCTTTATCCTCTTCTACATACCTTCCTTCTTTTGTTTTAAATTTAACTAATCCTTGTTTTACTTTTCTTTTCTCATTTATGTATCTAAAAAATGTTTTATCCCCCTTTTTTACTAACTGTGCTATTTTCTCTTCTGTGTGTGATTTGGAAGCTTTTATAACTTGCTTAGCCTCTTTCTGCCTAATCTTATAGAATATTTTGTCTTCCTCACTCTGGGTTTTTTTTATAATTCCTAAATGCAAACTTTTTGTTTTTAACTATTTTGGCCACATCTGTGGAATACCACAGTGGTTTCTTGATTTTTTTGCTTTTACTGACAAGCCTAATGCAATTTTCTGTTGCCTTCAATAGTGCAACTTTTAAGTAATCCCATTTCTCTTGGACTCCATTTAAATTGCTCCAGTCTGATAACGACTCCTCTACCCATATTCTAATTTTAGAAAAGTCTGTTTTTCTAAAGTCTAAACTTTTGTTTTTGTGTGGTGTGACTCAGTCACTGTTCTTATATTAAACCACACTGACTGATGATCACTGGATCCTAAACTTTCACCTACAGTAATATCTGATACCAAATCTCCATTTGTTAACACTAAATCTAGTATAGCCTCTTTACGAGTTGGCTCCTCAACAACTTGTTTTAGAGACAATCCCAGTAGGGAGTTTAGAATATGTGCGCTCCTGGCACAAGTAGCTAATTTTGTTTTCCAATTTACATCAGGAAGATTAAAGTCACCCATGATGATAACTTCCCCTTCATTGTCATTTTAGCTATTTCCTCAACTAGTAGATTATCTAACTCTTCAATTTGTCCTGGGGGCCTATAAATCACACCTACACGAGTTACTGTGTGATTACCAAATTCTAACGTAACCCAAACAGACTCTATGTTTGCCTCACTAACTTTTATTAGGCTAGATTTTATGCTATCCTTCACATACAAGGCCACCCCTCCCCCTTTCTTGCCTTCCCTATCTTTCCTATATAAAGAGTACCTTGGTGTTGCTATGTCCCAGTCAATTTTCTCATTATACCATGTCTCAGTAACAGCGACTAAATCTACACTATCAGTTGCCATTATTGCCACAAGTTCATGGATCTTATTCCCTAAATCGCGAGCATTTGTAGACATGACTCTAAGCTTATCATTTTTTAACACACTTGGTAAAGGCACCTTCTGCCCTTGTTTTGGGGGACAATTGGATTGATGTTTTATCACCCTTTTGCCCCTCCTAGTTTAAATACATCCTAGCAAAACCTCTAAACTGCTCACTGAGAACATTTTTCCCTTTTGAGAAAGATGCAAACCATCTTTTTTGTACAGCTTATCTCCATTCTAAACAGAGCTACCATGAGAAATAAAGCCAAATCTTTGCTCCCGACACTATTCACCAAGCCACAAATTAAATTATTACCCGGGTTTATATCACTTATATAATCCTCTGTCATTATTACCTGGGTTTATATCACTAATATAACCCTCTGTCATTATTACCCGGGTTTACATCACTAATATAATCCTCTGTCATTATTACCCGGGTTTATATCACTAATATAATCTCATCTATCATTATTACCCGGGTTTATATCACTAATATAATCCTCTATCATTATTACCCGGGTTTATATCACTAATATAATCCTCTATCATTATTACCTGGGTTTATATCACTAATATAATCCTCTGTCATTATTACCCAGGTTTATATCACTAATATAATCCTCTATCATTATTACCTGGGTTTATATCACTAATATAATCCTCTATCATTATTACCAGGGTTTATATCACTAATATAATCCTCTGTCATTATTACTAGGGTTTATATCACTAATATAATCCTCTGTCATTATTACCCGGGTTTATATCACTAATCTAATCCTCTATCATAATTACCCGGGTTTATATCACTAATCTAATCCTTAGTTTATTATTACCCAGGTTTATATCTCTAATCTAATCCTCTGTCATTATAACCCGGGTTTATATCAGTAATATAATCCTCTGTCATTATTACCCGGGTTTATATCTCTAATCTAATCCTCTGTCATTATTACCAGGGTTTATAACACTAATATAATCCTCTGTCATTATTACCCGGGTTTATATCACTAATATATACGTGAACATTGCAGGTTGTCCTATCATAACATAATCTGTATTGCACCGAGTTTATATCACTAATATAATCTTATCTAACATTATTACCAGGTTTTATATCACTAATATAATCCTCTATCATTATTACCCGGGTTTATATCACTAATATAATCCTCTTTCATTATTACCTGGGTTTATATCACTAATATAATCCTCTGTCATTATTACCCAGGTTTATATCACTAATATAATCCTCTGTCATTATTACTAGGGTTTATATAACTAATATAATCCTCTGTCATTATTACCCGGGTTTATATCACTAATCTAATCCTCTATCATAATTACCCGGGTTTATATCACTAATCTAATCCTTAGTTTATTATTACCCAGGTTTATATCTCTAATCTAATCCTCTGTCATTATTACCCGGGTTTATATCAGTAATATAATCCTCTGTCATTATTACCCGGGTTTATATCTCTAATCTAATCCTCTGTCATTATTACCAGGGTTTATAACACTAATATAATCCTCTGTCATTATTACCCGGGTTTATATCACTAATATAATCCTCTGTCATTATTACCCGGGTTAATATCACTAACATAATCCTCTGTCATTATTACCCGGGTTTATATCACTAATATAATCTTATCTATCATTATTACCAGGTTTTATATCACTAATATAATCCTCTATCATTATTACCCGGGTTTATATCACTAATATAATCCTCTATCATTATTACCTGGGTTTATATCACTAATATAATCCTCTGTCATTATTACCCAGGTTTATATCACTAATATAATCCTCTGTCATTATTACCAGGATTTATATCACTAATATAATCCTCTGTCATTATTACCAGGGTTTATATCACTAATCTAATCCTCTGTCATTATTACCCGGGTTTATATCACTAATCTAATCCTTAGTCATTATTACCCAGGTTTATATCTCAAATCTAATCCTCTGTCATTATTACCCGGGTTTATATCACTAATATAATCCTCTGTCATTATTACCAGGATTTATATCACTAATATAATCCTCTGTCATTATTACCAGGGTTTATATCACTAATCTAATCCTCTGTCATTATTACCCGGGTTTATATCACTAATCTAATCCTTTGTCATTATTACCCAGGTTTATATCTCAAATCTAATCCTCTGTCATTATTACCCGGGTTTATATCACTAATATAATCCTCTGTCATTATTACCCCGGTTTATATCTCTAATCTAATCCTCTGTCATTATTACCCGGGTTTATATCACTAATATAATCCTCTGTCATTATTACCCGGGTTTATATCACTAATTTAATCCTCTGTGATTATTACCCGGGTTTATATCACTAATATAATCATATATCATTATTACCCGGGTTTATATCACTAATATAATCCTCTGTCATTATTACCCGGGTTTATATCAATCATATAATCCTCTGTCATTATTACCCGGGTTTATATCACTCATATAATCCTCTGTCATTATTACCCGGGTTTATATCACTAATATAATCCTCTGTCATTATTACCCGGGTTTATATCACTAAAATAATCCTCTGTCATTATTACCCGGGTTTATATCACTAATATAATCCTCTGTCATTATTACCCGGGTTTATCTCACTAATATAATCCTCTGTCATTATTACCCGGGTTTATATCTCTAATATAATCATATATCATTATTACCCGAGTTTATATCACTAATATAATCCTCTATCATTATTACCAGGGTTTATATCACTAATATAATCATCTATCATCATTACCCAGGGTTTAGTGGGTATATAACTATTATAATTATCTATATACATTACCCGGGGTTTAGTGGGTATATAACTGATATCATTATCTATATATATTACCCAGGGTTTAGTGGGTATATAACTATTATAATTATCTATATTCATTACCTGGGTTTTAGTGGGTATATAATTATTATAATTATCTATATACATTACTCAGGGTTTAGTGGGTATATAACTATTATAATTATCTATATATATTACCCAGGGTTTAGTGGGTATATAACTATTATAATTTTCTATATATATTACCCACGATTTAGTGGGTATATAACTATTATAATTATCTATATTCATTACCCGGGGTTTAGTGGATATATAACTATTATAATTATCTGTATACATTACCCGGGGTTTAGTGGGTATATAACTGATATAATTATCTATATACATTACCCAGGGTTTAGTGGGTATATAACTGATATAATTATCTATAGAAATAACTCAGGGAATAATTGGGTATATAACTGATATAATTATCTATCTGTATTACCCAGGGTTTAGTGGGTATATAACTATTATAATTATCTGTATACATTACCCGGGGTTTATGGGTATATAACTATTATAATTATCTATATATATTACCCAGGGTTTAGTGGGTATATAACTATTATAATTTTCTATATATATTACCCACGATTTAGTGGGTATATAACTATTATAATTATCTATATACATTAACCAGGGTTTAATGGGTATATAACTGATATAATTATATATATACATTACCCAGAGTTTAGTGGGTATATAACTGATATAATTATCTATATACATTACCCAGGGTTTAGTGGGTATATAACTGATATAATTATCTATAGAAATAACTCGGGGATTAGTGGGTATATAACTGATATAATTATCTATCTGTATTACCCAGGGTTTAGTGGGTATATAACTATTATAATTATCTGTATACATTACCCGGGGTTTATGGGGTATATAACTGATATAATTATCTATATACATTACCCAGGGTTTAATGGGTATATAACTGATATAATTATCTATATAAATAACTCGGGGATTAGTGGGTATATAACTGATATAATTATCTATCTATATTACCCAGGGTTTAGTGGGTATATAACTATTATAATTATCTATATACATTACCCAAGGTTTAGTGGGTATATAATTATTATAATTATCTATATACATTAACCAGGGTTTAATGGGTATATAACTGATATAATTATATATATACATTACCCAGAGTTTAGTGGATATATAACTGATATAATTATCTATATACATTACCCAAGGTTTAGTAGGTATATAACTATTATAATTATCTATATATATATATTACCCTGGGTTTAGTGGGTATATAACTATTATAATTATCTTTATATATTACCGAGGGTTTAGTGGGTATATAACTATTATAATTATCTATATACATTACCCAGAGTTTAGTGGGTATATAACTGATATAATTATCTATATACATTACCCAGGGTTTAGTGGATGTGTAACTGATATAATTATCTATATATATTACCCAGGGTTAAGTGGGTATATAACTATTATAATTAGGGATTATTCTAGCTTTTAGTGAACGAATAATCTGAATTTTATTAAAGACAGGAGGCGAATATTTGCTTATCTTTCTTTACTGTAACTCCCAGCAGCAAAGAAATGGTTAACAATGTTGTATGGAAAAATCAACCAATCATAACATATCTCAACTACAATATAGTGTCATCAAACTCCTCCCACTTCCTCTTTCTTGATGTTGCCAGTCAGTAGCAAAGTCAACCATGTAAACTTTAACCGGAACAGTTCCCGAAGCCGAAACTCGAGATGAAGTCAACCATGTAAACGGAAAGTTGAACGAATAAACTTGAGATCTTCACACTAAAAGAAAAAGAGAGACTTCGTGAAAGTAAGGTTTCTCGGACAAGAGAAAAAATATATATATATAGTTGAATCCCCTATTTCCAATTATAGTTCATACGAATTGGCAGAATAATCAAGATTATAAAGATCTATCAGTACTCTATGAGATAGGTGTATAACCACAAGGTGAGCAAATCGTATATAGCAGGTTTGTATGTAAATAATGGTATCATACATTAATCATTGAGTATGAGACTTACCTCGAGGGTGGGTTCCGGAATGAACGAAGGGAGGGAAAATATTCGCCTCCTGTCTTTAATAAAATTCAGATTATTCGTTCACTAAAAGCTAGAATAATCCCTAATTTTATGGCAAGACAGGAGGCTTCATATTTGCTGTTTTAACGCTCTCGAATAATAGAACAAGCCGCATGTGTTTGTGTTGGTTTAAAATAAAAAGTCCGAAAGGTAGATTCCCTTGACCAATCTGCGCAGGACAAAATATCCGCTAATGAACTGCCGGCCCGAAAGGCAGAGGATGCGGCCGCTCCCCTAACGGAATGGGCCCCAAATGATCTATCGATTCCCGCTTGGATAAGTAACCATCTTATCCAGCGAGCGATAGTGGGGGAAGAGACCGGTTTGTGAGGTCTGACATAAGAGATGAAAAGGGGACCGGTAGGAGAACGTAGGGCGGCAGTTGCCTCTGTGTAACAACGAGTACACAGAGCCACACAGAGGGCTGGCCTGTCGGGAAAGTATGGGTAAAAAACAGACGAGGAATTCGTCTTAGTGCGCCTAGTAATCGTAAATCGGACCCCTTCTGGTGTGAAGGAGACAGCGTGTGAATCAAAAGCGTGAACGTCAGAAACTCTGCGGAATGACACCAGGCACAGTAGCAGGGCCAATTTTGCAGAGAGCTGTCGAAGGGATAAGGCCTCGTTAGGAGGCCAAGACTCTAACAATGCGAAGACTCGAGATATGTCCCAGAAGCCAGAGTATTTGGCTGAAGGTGGCCTCGTCAAACGAATGCCTCGTAAAAGTCTGCACACAGAAGGATGTTTCCCAACTAAGGAATTATCAATAGGGTCATGTCCCGCCGAAATGGCGGAACGAAAAACATTAATTGATCGGTATGATTTACCCTGATCGAAAAGGGATGATAGAAAATTTAGAATGGATGAGAGAGATGTTGAAACGGGATCGAAATCCCTCTCCAGACACCCGCTGACCCAAACTTGCCATGCGGCGAGATAGGTGCGCCTGGTTCCTGGTGCCCATGAATCCCATAGGAGTGTTTGAGCAGTGCTTGAAAGTCCTGCGACATGCCAAGCACCCCTGAAACTGTCCAGGCCACTAACTGAAGGTGGCCCTGTAGAGCTAGTGGATGGTAGTCGCCCGTTGAGTTCTTGAGAACCCGATGTGAGCGAGGTAGAATGATGGGGTAGTCTGTGGAAAGCTCCAGAAGAGTGGGGAACCACGTCTGGGCCCGCCATAGAGGGGTAACTATCACAATCTTGACCCTCTGTGATTTGACCTGGTGGAGAGTACGTTGAATCATGGAGAAGGGAGGGAAGGCATAGGCTCCGTCCCGTGGCCAATGTTGGAGAAAAGCGTCGACAGCTAGGGATAGAGGGTCTGGTAACCAGCTGAAATAATCGTCTGTTTGACGATTCAGCCGAGACGCGAAGAGGTCGAGAGTGATCGGTCCCCGCAATAGGTGAATGTGGTGAAATAGAAGAGGATCTAATTGCCAATCGCTGGCATCCCTCCAGTGACGTGAGAACCAGTCCGCGACTAAATTGTCGGGTCCTGGGAGATACTCGGCCCGAATAGACAGATTCCTGTCTAAGCAAAACTGATACAGATCCTTGGTGAGGTCTGACAGTAGTTTCGATTTGGACCCTCCGAGACGGTTTACATATCGTACTGCGGAGATGTTGTCCATCCGAAGTACCAGAGAGCAGTTGGAGGCTTCTTTGGCAAAGCTGCGGATCGCGAAGGATCCGGCAATGAGCTCGAGACAATTTATGTGAAGTGCTCGTTCCGACGGGGACCAGAGACCTCCTGTGTATGATTGGGCGCACGTAGCGCCCCAACCGAGTAGGCTGGCATCGGATTCCAGAATAAAATCTGGTTGAGATCCGAAAATCGCTTTCCCATTCCAGGCTTCCATATTGCGAAGCCACCAGTGAAGTTCGATAAGAACTTCGTCCGTTAGGGAAATGAATTGGTCGTAGGAGGTCGAGCGATGTAAATAGGAGGTTTTCAGCCGTTGCATTGCTCTGTAATGCAAGGGCCCTGGAAAAATAGCCTGAATTGATGCAGACAGAAGACCCAGCACGTGTGCTAGGTCGCGGAGTCGAGGTCGTTGTGACTTGAGTAATTTTTGAATCTCTCGCTTTATGTTTTTGATTTTGGAGTAGGGTAATTGTAGAGTTGCTTGAACTGAATCTATCTGAAAACCCAAAAATTGGACTATTTGAGAAGGTACCAGGTCTGATTTCTGGTAATTTATGACAAAACCTAGGTTTTGAAGGAGGGCAGAGGTCATGTGTGTGTGTTTGCGAAGTAATTGCTGATCTTGTGCCATGATCAGGATATCGTCCAAATATATAATTGAACGTATGCCCTGAGAACGAAGGAGCGCCATGACTGGTTTCATCAACTTGGTGAAACACCATGGAGCAGAACAAAGTCCGAAAGGGAGGCAGGTGAACTGCCAAATGTCGCCTTGCCAACGGAATTGGAGGAAGGCACGGTGACTTGGTGCTACAGGGACCGTCAGATAAGCATCTTTGAGGTCGAATCTGGAGAACCAGTCTCCCATGCAGAGCAAGTCCCTGAGAAGATGGATACCTTCCATCTTGAAATGACGGTATGTGATAAAGCGATTCAACGCCTTGAGGTTGATAATGGGACGGTGGTCCCCCGTTTTTTTCCGAACCAGAAATATATTGCTGAGGAAGGTGCAAGGGAAAGGCGAAGGTTCGATCGCCCCTTTGTGTAACAATTTTGTCAGTTCTGTGTTCAAGGTTAGAGTATCTGCTTTTGACATCCCTAAGGGTGTCGGGTGAGAATATTGAACTGGATGTGTGATAAAATCTATTTTGAAACCTGTGACTGTATGAAGGATCCAAAGATCCTGAGAAAGAAGTTTCCACTGTGGGAAAAAGAATGTTAATCGACCTGCGATTGATACAGTTTTTAAATAAGCAAGGTCCATTACCTGAAGCAGTGCGTCCGCGCAGGGATGCAGAGCCACGTCCTCGAATTGAGCCTCTGGTGTTGAACAGCTGCCTGTGGTAGGGTCGTGAGTATCCCGTGGACCAATACTCTGTGGGTCGGGGCCTGTAGCCTGAAAAGGCTGCTCTACTGGTAGCTCGGCCCCTTGAGCGACCAGCTCTCCCAGAAAAACGATTTTGAAAAGTGGGACGGAACACCCTACGTAGGGAGGACTGGGCTTTATTGAGTGTGGTAAAAACTGAGACATGCTTGGAGAGGTCTCGCATGAAACTGTTACCAAATAAAAGACCATCGGCCTCTGGGCCTAGTTCTTTAGTGCTCAAATCCACTAGTTTGGCATCGATTTTGTACAGTGCCGCTTTGCGTCTCTCAATTGAAATAGCCGTATTGGCGTTGCCCAGAAGGCAAAGGGCTCTCTGCGCCCATTCTCTTATAATATGCGGGTCTAATTCACCGCTGGTGAGTGCCTCATCTGCGAGTATAAATATTTGTATGATAGGACCTGAAATGTCCAATAATTTGTCTTGGGTTGCTTTCAAACCCTGTTCAATACCCTTCCGAGGGTCTTTACCAGATTTTGTTAAATAGGTGACCAACATGGGGTCAAATTCAGGGGTAGAGGCAACTTTGCCTGGGATAGTAGGTCTCGGGCATTCAGCCCTTAGTTTGTTTCTGATTTCTTTTTCGAGGGGCTTGCGAAGCCACAGTTTACAGAAATTAGCAATATGATCTGGGGGAGCCCATTCTGCTGAGCGTGGGTGGCGTATCACCCTTGGGTCAAAAAGTGGAAGGCCTGAAGCATCCAGGAGGGTGTCTGAGTCAGGTACCTTACTCTTGTGATCTTGATTTAGGAAAGTTTCTTTCACGAACTCCGATGTTGAGGAATCCTGGGGCACATTCACCATGGGATCCTCGTCAGAGTAATTGGGGTCATAGTCACTTAGAATATGGCCAGATAAACGTGAAGTAGAACCCTCTAGAGGGTCTGTAACATCCTGTGAAACATAGGGCTTAGCATGTTTAACGACCTTAGCAGGAGCTTTGCCCTTGCCCGCAGTAGCGCTATTCCCTTTCCAGGGTCTTTTGCGCGGGGCGCTATCTTGGTCGGAGATATGGGAGTCCTCAGAGTCAGAGGGCTGTTGTGTAGAGGGGTGTACCTCTGGATTACGTTCATGGTAGGCTGCCAGAGCCTTAGGAATGGACTCTGCGATAGTTGAGAAAAGCCATTCCTTAAGTTCAGCAGAGATCGCAGGGTCTTGGCGATCTGACATAATGACAATTTAAAGATAAATGTGAACCCTAATAACAACTATCTCTATATATATATATAGATTAAAGAGTATCAATTAAGGATGAGGCAACTCAATTAGAAAAATATGAGGTGGGGGTCACCCACGAGACGTCAAACAATGGGGGTCACCCACAAATGCTTGGCACAATAAAATAGTAAAGGATAATTAATGGGGGTCACCCAATAATACAGATTGTGAACAATAGGAAATATTGTACAGATACTGAGGTGGGGTCACCACTATAAAATTACACCAATAATATATATAATGTGTATATATAATGTACTGTAAGTAATGGGGGTCACCCACAAAATAAAGTAAAGTGGTGTTAGCCACATAAATATGCACACAGCAGTGTATTCAGTAGGTGGTGTCAGCCACACAACTATTGTACATAATATGTACTTTAAATAAGTAAGTGGGGTTCACCCACAGGAGGAAAATAAAAATGGTCAGTCAGACAAATTTGGTAAAAAACAAACCACACTGTAATTATACCACTTAAGGAAAGGGGTTCACCCAGAGTTGTAATAAAATGGTCCTGTGTGGGCAAAGCCTGTGGAAAAAACAGATAGGAGATAGATCAGTAAGTGATCGTTTTTAATGAGTTTTATGAAAAAATAGGTGGATATAAGGTGGCAGCAACCTACCTTCCACAACTAGTTAATAAAGTTCTGTACCCACAGGATGATCGTGAAAAACTAGCGCCGCAGTGGAGGAGCCGTTGGCAGTTACACTGCAGTTTAAAATGGCCGCCGCGAGATCGCCGCCGTTGAAAGGGCGGGAAAGGTCCGCGTCATAGGAAGACGCTTGGTAGGCGGGAGGAAGGCAATGGCGGGAAAAAAGCAGCCGCGGCTCTGGGAGATGGAGTCCGCGGCTGAAGAGAGGCAGAGAATAGGGCCGCGGCTCTTCCTGAGAGAATAGAGCCGCGGCCAGCTGAGTGAAAAACGGCAGGGTTCGAAAAACCCTCCGTGCACTGAAAACCGGTTAGGACGCCAAATTTAAAGGGGAACAAACAATCCAATACAGGGAAATAAGAAAAAATAATATATGTGTGAGAAAAAGAGGAAATATTTAAAGGAAATATTTAAAGGAAAAGATGATTGAATCAAAATAAATTTTTTAAGATGAATTCTATGTATGCAGTAACAAGGTTTAAATAAACAAATATTGAATTAACTAAAACCAGTAAGGCAATGTAATTGGAGCAGACTCACCTGGGAGGCAAGCAGCAAAGAAAGAGGAAGTGGGAGGAGTTTGATGACACTATATTGTAGTTGAGATATGTTATGATTGGTTGATTTTTCCATACAACATTGTTAACCATTTCTTTGCTGCTGGGAGTTACAGTAAAGAAAGATAAGCAAATATGAAGCCTCCTGTCTTGCCATAAAATTATCTTTCCTGGCCATATCTATGGCAGCACAACTATGGGTAGCTCTTCCCTATCCCTAATTAGACAGGAACTAAGTAAAATAAATGTATAAGTACGTCCTCCTATCCCCCTCCTCCCTCAGTCTTTTTGTTCCTGTCCTATCCCTATAGGACATGTGTTTTTCCTTGGAATTATTATTTTTCTTTTATGGCTTACCTGGGGATTTGGTCCCCTGGCCCCTTGGGAGTTCAGCCTCTCTCCCTTGGGAAGTCTCAAGTTAAACGGCACTGCGCAAAGGTGACCCCCTGGAGAGTACCCCTTTAGTGACTGGGGGTCTGGTACTTGCTGTAACCCAAAGGGTAGCAAGCTTTTATGCCTGGTTCCCTATTGCTGCAGTGACCCTAGGGGTAGCAGTGGGCAGGTGAATATGGACCTGGACGTGTACCTTGCTGGTCTGGACTTCTTCCTGTTTCCGGCTTCCCTCTGCCTTTTCCGCCGTCCTTCTGAGGGGTAAGTCCCTGTGCTTTCTTTCATTTTCACTTGGCGTTCGTTTTTTCGAATGCACAAGCGTTCGGATAAATTTTAGCCGTTCGCATGAATTCTGGTGAACGTTTGTTTGTTCACATGAATGGCTATTTCGTCTTTAAATTCATCTGTAAATTCGCCTGTTTGGGAGTCTGATTCACACAGGTGAAAAGCTCTGTGTGTGACGTCAGACGCCTATTTAACAGCCCCCTGGTTCTCACACTCGTGGGAATCATTCTGGTGAATGCTGCATTGCTTCCTTCTATCTCCTGCTAGATTTTCATTTCGTCTGCTTTTCCTTAAGGTAAATGTTATTTTATATTTTAAAGTGGTATCCTTCAATTTGTTCTTAATTTCAATTTGAGATTCTTTCTTGCATTTGGTTTTGCAGATGGATATGGAAGTCTCAAATTCCTCTCATTCTTCTAATTCTTCCTCACCTCACAATAGGTCACAACTTAAGTCTTAAAGGTAAGCCATTTTTTTTCTGGTTTGTTTTATCTGGTATTTAAAAGAGTGCGGATCACTGATACACTGTTCTATCTCTATTTCTGCAGTTCTAAGGGGACTAGAGCTTCAGTGTCGTCCAAAAAGAAGTCGCCCAGAAGGACACAATGTGTATCCTGTGATAACAGAGCCCTGGAGGGGAAACGTCTCTGTGTTTCTTGCCCATCTGTGGCTGCAGGCTCATCTCAAAGGCAGTCCTCCATCCAACCTGCGCCTGACATAATGCAGTATATTTCACAAGCAGTCGCTCTGGGCATTTCAGGAAGCTGGGAAGTCCCGCAAACGACCAAGTTGTTTGGAACCTTCGGAGTGTTCTCCAGACGTCTCTGATGTGGAGTGTATGACTATGGAATCCAGGCCCGGACTGGCCATCGGGCACACCGGGCAAATGCCCGGTGGGCCGCGGTGGCCGTGGGCCGAGGCCGGCAGGGAGATCACAGGATCTCCCCTGCCGGTCTTTGCAGGGCCGGCACTGTCTGAACGCCGGCCCTGCAGTAGTCTACAGCGGGCCGGTGGGGAGATCAGAGATCTCCCTCACCGGCCCACATAGAGAATACTGCGGCCGCCGGGGGGAGAGAGGGAGGGAGCCAGCCTGGCAGCAGAGGAACCGGGTGGAGCTTTAACTTACAGCTCCGCCGGGTTCCTCTCGCGAGATTCGGAGTGTTGCCATGGCAACGCTCCGGGTCTCGCGAGAATGAACTCTAGCCCAACAGGCTAGAGTTCACTCACCACTTGGACCACCAGGGATGGATGGCGGCAGGATCCCCCCTCCCAGGCATAAGGTAAGCAGGGAGGGGGGATATAATCAGGGCACAGCAGGGCACATAACACTCCCAGCACCCTCACACACACACACACTGCACCCTTGACACTCACAGCACCCTCACACACACACTGCACCCCTGACACTCACAGCACACACACACTGCACCCCTGACACTCACAGCACACACACACTGCACCCTTGACACTCACAGCACCCTCACACACACACACTGCACCCCCGACACGCACTGCACCCTCACTCACACACTACACATCTGACACTCACAGCACACACAAAATGCACCCCTAACACTCACAGCACCCTCACACACACACATTGCACCCCTGACACGCACAGCACACACACTGCACCCCTGACACTCACAGCACCCTCACACACACACACTGCACCCCTGACATGCACATCACACACCCTCACTTACACACACTGCACCCCTGACACTCACAGCTTCCTCACATGCACATAGCACCCTCATGCAAACACAGCACCCACTCACACACAGCACACTGCACCCATCACACACACAGCACCCTTACCCACAAAGCACCCTCACGCAAACGCAGCACCCATCACTCACACACACACCGCACCCCTCTCTCACACACACTACACCCCTTACACACACACACACACAGAGCAACCTCACACACACTGCGCAATATGCTTTCCTGGCATTTTTGTCTCCTGGTATCCCAACTATGGAGACACCAGAGACAAATTTCAAGCAAACACAGTGCAAGCATGTTATTAAATTTGCTTGCGCTGTGCAGAACAAATACAGGGTATTTTTCTCATGCCAGAGCTCTGCAGCAGAGCTCTGCGCATGGTCTACCCTGGAAGAGCATTGAACCAACATGCTCACTTTGTGATGGGGCGTGCTTGTCATTGGTGATGACAAAACACACCCTATCTGGCCCCGCCCCCTTTTTAGTGGGCCGTTGTAATTAAAAAATGCCCGGGCCGAATTTTCTTCCCAGTCCGGCCCTGATGGAATCCCTGAGAGATCTGCTGAGAATGAAGTGCTTCCAGCTCCAGATTTCCTGGAACCTGCTGAAATTGACCATTTGATATCCAGGGTCCGCAAGACTCTCAGGTTGAAGGAATCTTCTAAGGATGAGCCTTCCACATCCAGTCACCACTTCTCTGACCTCAGGAGGAAGAGGGCAACTTTTTCAGTCCATGAGACTATAAAAGACCTCATCAAGGAGGAATGGTCCAGATCGGACAGAAAATCCTCCGCAAAAGGAAGATTTTCCAGACTGTATCCTTTTGAGGATGCTGACACTGAAGCGTGGGATTTCGCTCCCAAGGTGGATGCGGCCGTGGTTAGATTGGCCAAACGTACCACTTTGCCTGTTGATGATGCGGGTTTCTTCAAAGACCCTATGGACAGAAAGATGGACTTCAGTCTTTTCAAAGCATATGTGGCTTCAGGTACTGGCCTGCACCCAGCAGTGGCCCTTATGTCAGTATCCAGGGTGCTTAAGGTTTGGATGGAGAATTTGGAGGAGGATATTAAGAACGGCAGGAGCCGTCCCTCCATACTGGAAAGCCTGAAGGATCTGAAATTGGCTGTTAACTTCTCATCTGAGGATGCGGTGGATCTGGTGAGGTCCTTAGCCAGAAGTATGGCTCTTTCAGTTTCGACCAGGAGAGCGCTATGGTTTAGATCATGGTCTGCTGATGCCTGCTCCAAAGGCAGCTTGTGCTCCCTTCCTTTTCATGGCGACATGCTATTCGGCAAGAATCTGGATGATTGTATTAAATGAGCAGCCGTAAGTAAAAAGGCCTTTCTGCCTCAAGACAACAGGCCCAAAGGTTCCTTTCGTGCAAAAAGGGATTACCCATTTCGTGATAGCAGATCCTACAGACCGGGTAAGGAATATGGGAGAAATCAGTCCTGGAGGAGTGGTCTACATGTTGCTAGATGCGGCAAGTCCCGAGGTTCCGCACCCTCCAAGAACCCCAGGAATCTGTGACGGACTCATCTCCCTGTCAGGCGGTGTTGGAGCTCGCTTACTCCAATTCTGTGTGGCATGGGAGAAATCCATAAGCGACAACTGGGTTATGGATATCATCAGAAGGGGATATCGTCTAGAATTTTGCAAACATCCTCCTTCCAGTACCTTCCAAATCACAAAGTAGGCGGTAGACAAAGTAAAAAGGCTTGCTCTCCAGGTCTTCTCTACAAAAAGAAGGGGTCATTGTACCAGTCCCGGAGTCAGAAAGAACTCATGGCTTCTATTCACACCTATTTCTGACCAAAAAGTCCTCGGGAGGGTGGAGACCCATCCTAAATTTACACAGACTGAATCGATACTTGAATATGCGCAGATTCAAGATGGAGTCCCTTCAATCTATAGTGAAGGCTGTCTTTCCCAGTCAATGGATGTTATCAATAGACTTGTTGGATGCCTATTTCCACATCCCTATAGCCCTGGCGCATCAGAAATACCTGAGGTTCGCAGTAAGGGAGGCTCATTTCCAATTCTGGGCCTTGCTTTTTGGTCTCAGCATGGCTCCAAGGACCTTCACGAAAGTGCTTGTTGTTCTCATCGCAGAACTGAGAAAACAGGGCATATCCATCCTCCATTACCTGGACGACATCCTGATTGTGGCGGACAACAAGGATACTTTGTCCTCCCATGCAACTGTTTGCCTTCAGTTCCTACAACGTCACGGTTGGAGGATCAATGTCAAAAAGAGCCATCTCTGCCCGAGTCAGTCCATGACATACCTGGGTGCTCTGTTCGACACTTCCACGGGGACGGTTCAACTCTCCCCAGAGAGGATCCTGAGAATACAGAAACAGGTTGTGGAGATGTTGGCATGCAAGGTGACTTCAGCAAAAAAGGAGATGAGTCTCCTGGGTTCCATGTCCTCCACGATAGGACTGACAAGGTGGGCACAATGGAGAATGCAGAGTTTTCAGGCGAACTTCCTCCTCCTCCTCAAAGAGTCTACTCCAGCCCATCAAGATTCCGTTGTCAGTTCACAATTCCCTGGTTTGGTGGCTGAACAGTGTCTCCTTAGCCAAGGGCTTCCCTCTGGGAGACATACCGTGGATAGTAATAAGGACGGATGCCAGCCATTGGGGTTGGGGAGCCCATTGTCAACACGACTTTGCGCAGGACGAGTGGAAGTTCTCTTGGACAACTTGTCTTCCAATCTCCTGGAACTCTTTGCTATTCTTGAAGCCCTGAAACACTTCTCTCCGCTAATTCGTCACGGTTTGGTGAAGATTCAGACTATGCTGCGGTGGTAGCCTACATCAACCATCAGGATGGCACCAGGAGCCGCAGGATGATGGTGTTTATGCATCAGTTGATGTCATGGTCCCAACGACACCTGGCAGGCCTCACAGCAATTAATATTCTGTGGGGAAAAAAAACAGATCGCAGATTTCCTCAGCAGATCCAAAATCGATCCGGGAGAGTGGCCTTTGTCGGATGACGTGTTCCAAATGATAGTGGACAGATGGGGCCTTCCTCAAGTGGACTTGTTTTCGTCACGAAAGAACAGGAAGGTGGAGTGTTTCTTCACGAAGGACAACGATCCTCTAGCCATGGGGAGGGACGCCCTTTCCAGCAACTGGCGATTTTGAGAGGGGTATGCATTTCCCCCTTTTGCCCTGATTTTTCCCATTCTAAGGAGAATGAGGATGGTTCGCGTCTCCCTCATACTCATAGCCCCGTTTTGGCCACGCAGACGCTGATTTCCTCTCCTGCAGAGCCTTTGTGTAGAGCCACCTTGGAGTCTTCCGAGAGTCCCAGACCTTCTGTGTCAATGTCTTGTCCAGACCCGTCCTCCCTCAACCTGATGGCATGGAGGTTGAAAGGGAAACCTCATGCGGTAGTAGACACCCTACTCAGGGCTAGGAAGCGTTCCACTTCTAACGCATACTATAGAATTTGGGACGTTTTTTCTTCCTGGACTTCCTCGAGGGATGTCTCGATCCAGTGTCCTTCCACAGGGAATATCTTAGACTTTCTTCAGTCCGGCCTCGAGAAGGGTCTGAGCTACAACACCTTGAAGGTTCGGCTTTAACTAACCACAAATGGGCCTTTGATTCGGACGTGGCCAGGTTTCTTAAAGCTGTTCTAAAAATCTGACCTCTGATTAAGCCGTTCGCTCCACCTTGGGACTTGCCTCTGGTTCTCCAAGCTCTAAAGTCTCACCCCTTTGAACCTTTGGACTCAGTGCCTTTCCATTTCCTCTCCATTAAAACTGCCTTACTGGTGGCTTCGGCCTTAGGCAGAAGGGTCTCGGAACTTCATGCTCTGTCGGTCAAGGCGCCTTTCACAGTCTTCCACAAGGACAGGGTCGTCCTTCATACTATCCCAGAATTTCGGCCTAAGGTCACCTCCGCTTTTCATATTAACGAGGAAATTGTTCTCCCAGCTTTGCATCCAATTCCACAAGTAGATGGTGATGTCAGTGATCTTTCCTCCTTGGATTTGGTGAGATGCCTCAGAATTTACTTTGACAGAACTGCCCTTTGGCGTACATCTTCAGGCCTCTTTGTCCTTTATAATGGATTTAGGAAGGGCAGTCAGGCTCCTAAATCTACCATTAGCAGATGGATTGTTTCAGCCATCATCCATGCTTATCAGGCCTCAAAAGCTCCAGTCCCGCATAGATTCAAAGCTCATTCCACGAGATTCCTTTCCTCCTCTTGGGCCTCCTCTGCCAAGGTCTCTCCTGAACTGATTTGTAGAGTTGCCACTTGGTCCTCTAATCAGACATTACCAAGTGGATGTCAGAGCCGGTCATTCGGACCAGTTTTCTACAAGTGTCCATTCTGTATGAAACCCTTGATTCCTGAAGTTTTGGTGTCACTTGATTTGTGGTACCAATACACTTTGCATATGATATTTCGGAATCTGTGGTTTCTTTATTTATTCTTCCCTCCATTGGTTATTGCTTGGGTATTACCCATTGTTGTGCTGCCATGGATATGGCCAGGAAAAGGGAAAATTTATCCATACTTACCGTAATTTTCTTTTCCTGGTCATATGCCATGGCAGCACAAAGGTCCTGCCCTGGGATATTGCTAGTAACAAGACTGAGGGAGGAGGGGATAGGAGGAGGTACTTATACATTTATTTTAATTAGTTCCTGTCTAATTAGGGATAGTGAGGAGCTACCCATCGTTTGCTGCCATGGCATATGACCAGGAATACAGAAAATTTTATCATACTTACCGTAATTTTCTTTTCCTGACTATTATTCATGGCAGCATCACTTATGGGTAGCTTCGCCCTAATCAGGAACAGGACAGGATAAAATCAATTAATATGGACCAGACTGGGTATAAAAGGTCCCTCCTCCTTCTATCCCACA